CGGGCGAGAAGAGGAGTTTCGTTGCGCGTGCACCGGCTGCCGCTCCTCCGTATGTTGATGCTAATGAAAAACTGGGGAGGCACTCTACGCGATAATGCTCGGGCTTCCGGTAAGAGCAGTCCAAGACGACGAGAAGTTGGCAATAGTGAAATTTCGCTTAAAGAAACGTCGACGCGTGCGCCCAACGAGCAGCGAAGCATTAAATCACTACAATTAGTCGATTAATCGGAATGCGTCGGTTGTAAGCGGTTGTAAGACGTTTACCGTCACAATGCTAAAGAACGTAACAAAGAGGACATTCGGATAATGTTAAGTCTTCATTTGCAACCCGCTTCGTTAATAAAGGCGAAATAATTACGTATTACTTCACACGGCGATTAAAGACGGTGAGTATGTAAATATAAATTCTTGCTCCGTTTGAACATTATTATTATGTCATTTTGTGAGCAGTCGTAAATTAAAACAATTCTAGTTAGAATAGCGGGGCGATAAAAAGGACAAATTACAACGGGTCTAAACTCAATTTGTTACCTGCTGTAATTTATAAGCGCAGCTGGTAGAGAAATGAGGGGTTTAGAGCAAGACCCGTCGCGAGTCTGGAGATCGTTGGTAAGGCAATTACGTGAAATGCAATACTTCGGGTTTCCTAATCCTATACTTTCCGTTTCCTTTCTCGGAATTGTCACGCGAACGGATAATTCGGCCGTTTGATACAGATCGAAGCCCGCGCGTCGTGGGAACGCACCTCGTCGTTATCTCGAAGACGACACTCCTTCCGATGATGAAGTTTTACTCTGAAAGCAAACCGTAATCGCGCGTGACAAAAAGACGCCGCTTATTTCAACCCTTTATTTAAGGCTTCACGAATGCTGTGTCTAGGAAATAAGGTTAATCTACCAGGTGGACGGATCTGAGAAGCCATGCATCTCAAAAGATGTTATCATACTTTAACATACTTATGTAAAAAACATCTTGAAAAATTACATGTATAAAACAAAAAAGAAGTATTACGTTTAATTTTGCAATATTTTGCGGAAGTTTTAATTTTGCAATATTTTGCGGAAGTTCCGGAAATTCAATTTCGTCGTTAATCGGACGGCAGCGAAACAAAAGAATGACATTTTTCAATGGTCAAATAATGAATCTCCCATTCAAAACTTGTTTCACGAGCTTTACACGTGCCGGGTATCAATCGGAGCAACGAACCGCTTCCTTCTTTTATTCGTCGTTTCGCATTCATCGCCGGCAGGAGATAGTTATGGCTTGAAGCTGTGTCCACAAGAAGAGCGGTACCAATTGGCCCCTAGTCGCGGGGCCGCGTTTATACAAAGTCCCCCGCCGCGTTCCGTCCACGATTTACGAGCCCGTTAAAAAAAAAAAAGAGAGAAGCGAAAGGAGGTCGGAATAAGAATTACGAGGAATCAAGAATAATATTTTTGCTCCTGCCAGCATCCGTGCGAGATGTTGCTACCAGACCTCAACCTTCATGGCATCCAGCCTTCTTTGTGTTTAATGTGAAACCTTTCCGTCTTCTCCACGGGAATAAGCTCTTACCGATTTCATCTCCTTGCCGTTGGAAGTCGTTCGCGTTTGCGAACGCTTTCTCGATAATCCCTCGCGTTTTAGACACACCGATGTTATTCAGAGGGACGACGCAGCGACAGCAGCGACGTTTCCGCGTGCTGAATATACATATCTCGATGCCGAGACCGAGAACTCGTTCCCGGGTCCAGTGATACTAAAAGAAAACCCGCCCCGGACGTACATTATGTATCTTTATAACGTTATCAATAGAGGGAAGATTGAGCGCCGTGTAATTGGTGCGTTACGAGCTGATTGGCTGCAACGAGACGCTGCAACACCGACCGTGACTCGTCCCTCTTTTTCGTCTCTTTTTCTTCTATTCAGACCGCGGTTACCAGGTAATTTAAATCGTGGACGAAGAAAAATAATTCATGATTTTATTTCATCGTAAATATTATACAGGGGTCATTCGATTCGTTATGATTCCTAGATGATGCTCATTCGGACGAATATCATGCAAATATCAAAAAGTGAAAAGGGGAGGGAGAGGGACCTTTTCGCAACGTTAGCCTTTGCGCGAGGAATAGAGGAAATTAGACACAGGAATAAATATGAAATTTTTTGGAAATGAAAATTTGAAATAAAAATCAAACGTAACATATAGCCATATCTCAAACTTATTTGTGTTACACTTAATCTTTATTCCGAGTTTGCAAAATTTAATACTTCCTGTTCCTAACATGGTATTTCTATTCCTAATATTTCCTCCATTGTGTGCAGGGCCTTAAAAAACTTCTCTTCGTCACTTCGATCTTCCATATTTCCCGCACGCGGCAGATGTTTCACGCTACGGTGAGCCGCGGTGATCTCGTAATGGTCTCGGAAAAGATGCGCGACATAAATTTCACACGCGTTCACGCATCTGCGACCGCACGATATTTTGAACGCGCAGGAATGGAACTACGGGAGGAATGCCATCGAGCACGATCGAGATCGTGCGATATTTCCATTGATCGCGTAACGTGGAAATGGATTTTCAATCGATCGTCGCTGTCACTATTTCGCGTTCCTGTCATTCTTGCGCGTTTAAAAGATCGGGGAGGGGGAGGGGGAAAGAGGTAATATAAATATTTTCTCGCACGGGGGCTATCGAAGGACAGCGCGATTGAATAAGTTATCAGGATACAAGGATTGTTCATTCTCGACGTCATTTCCTTTTCTTTATCCGCTATTCTTCCGCTTGCTGGAGATCGTGAAAATATTCATAACGCTGTCGGACGGCGCGCGCTTGATTTCACATTAAGCGAACGCAACGATAAAGGAACGAGAGAAGCGATTCTCCAGATCAACATCGCATCGAATTAAGAATGGGAAGATTCGTTTGAGCCGTGCAAAGTGTCATTTGGTAGAGTCTCGAAAGGGGCATGGATCTTAGCGGTGAGCGGTGAGAAGGATTGAAGCGCGACGAAATAATGATTTCTAGAGCAAGGTGACAATCGGCACTTTCTTCCCCAATTAGGCGGCTAATAAGAGGAATTAAGTCAATTAGAGAGGAGTCAGTTGCCGGGCGCCGGTGTCCTTATGGTCATCTCGTCACTCGTATTTTAAACTTGACAAAAAAAAAAAGAGAAGCGATTTTCTACAACGTCACTAATCCGATTTTAAATATGGTGGAATAAAAACGGATTTTCTATTTAGAATCGCAGGATGACAGACCCATTTGGGTATTCTGATTTGAATTTGTGCTCTGTAGGATTAAACCTTTCTTGTAACTGGGAGGATTTTAGGAAATTTCTATGCGAGTATTTTCAGTCGACGCGACGTTCGCCAGCCGAATGACGCGAAGGAAGAAGGCAGAGCAAAGAAGAGAAGAGGAAACATGTCAGCTTCTCGCTCTCGACGATGCTACATTTTATCGTTATACGTACGAGCTGCCTTCCACTCGATCTTCTAAGTTTATCGCGCCGTGACATGAAGTTCGAAGTTACGGAAGTGATTCGGAAGACATGGCTCTCCGACGTGGTTGTCGACGGAAGTAATTATAACATTGATAAACAATCATTTGGTCGTTAACTTTTGTTGGCGAGTCGTCATCGTCGTTACAAGTCGCTCGCGGTACTCGCGATTTCACGGCGTCGCAACGCTGACGGTGAAAATAAAGAAATAACGGATAAAAGAACCGCGATGAAAGCGCGCGGTAAAACTCGCCTGCACTCTCTCGAGCGTAAATTCTAGAAATACGAGATCTTCGCGATTTAATTAGCGGAGGACACGACGAATGCGATTCCCGTACATCCTGCGAATCATCGTCACGGTTTATTTCGCGGATTATCTCGCAACGGTTGCGATATTCTTAGTCCCATAAAGTCCTCGATGTAGCTTCGCTACAGTTTATTATTTTATCTGAGCCATAATGAGTGGTTTCCTTTGGCACAAATGGATACATAAAGTTCTCGCGTAAAATTTTACGTTTTATAAATTTAGAATAATTTGGATGTAAGATCTTCGTGCGAAGACTGATACGACCGTCGTCCTTTGTTTACTTCAGCGTCACCATGGAACCTCGCGAAGATGAGGTAATTCGCTTCGAAAAAAAGCGATATGTAAAGCCCCCATGATTCGCCCCTATGAGGGGTGTTCGTAGGACCGTAACGATTTTTTTTCCATCGAGTTAAGCGGGATGGCGTTAAGTGTCGCACCTGATATCGATTAGATCGCTTCACGACAATAACAACGGAAAACAACAAACAAAGGAAAGAGGCCTGAAATGGCCGAGTTTGACCTTATCGCGACTCGATTACTTTCTCGAGTCAATTAGACGAGAGGAAATAAAACGAGTCGTTGAAAGATTCGCGAAACATTCATTTTCGCAAAAGTATTAGCAGCTCCAGCGAGAAAACGTGCGGAAAGCCCATTTGCGTAGATTCCTCGGACTCGTAATTCATATTTCCAATTCCGCGCGGCGTTATTTAAACTGCACGTGCATTCCTACCTGGCATTCTTATGATCTTTTCACGACCGTCTCGCAGATCTGAAATGCGATAGCAACCCGCAATTACCCGCGTGAGCGCCCGATGACGTAGGAGCAGAAGGTGATACCATCGCTAAACAATGGGTCTATTAACGCCGTACTTTCTACACCTGCTGATACCTAAGACGGAGCATATGCGAGGCACGATTCTCGCGTGAAAAAAATACAAAAATCGACGTGGAGAGAGAGCGAGGACAGAGAACGATGGACGCACCTAATGTCGGATCAACGTTATCCAGATGGAACTTTGCGTCCCGACAGAGAAGCGCTCTCTCGCTCTCTCTCTCTCTCTCTCTCTCTCTCTCTCTCTCTTCTA